CACACGCCCTACCTCAGCATATGGACCTTGTCACTCGATGCGGGTCCTCAGCCTTGGGCTTCCAGGACCAGGGGCCAAAACAGACCTTTCTTTACCACCCGCCACCCTGTGGCACTGTTGTGATAGAAACAGAACCAGACTATAACACAGCCTCTTCTACTTAGACACATTCACGCTTCCACCGCTCACGGCTTGAGAATTCCTTGCCTTTTGGTGCTGAGCACAGTGAGATCCCCACCTGGATGTTCTGAGTTTATTGTCTTGCCTACGAGAACATCTAGGTCACTTGAAAGTTTAGCAATTGTGTGCTGTAAAATCTGCATGCGGATTTTTATATGGGCGCAAGTTTGCCGCTCCTGCAGGTAAATAGCACTGCATGGGATGGGGAGATGTCTCGCAAGAAGCCACAGGCTGCCATCCAAGCTGACCGCACCCTTTGCTTCCCTGGGGCCCCATCCTCGCAGCACATAGTGTGGCCAGTGCTCGAGGTGGCTGTCCTCACGGCTGCCCCACCATCTGCTGCTCTCTTCTGGCACAGCGTAGGAGGCCTCTCTACATGCCTCATTGCTATTTGCTTTGGTGAGGTGTTTGTATTCTCATGCTGAGTTTTTGTTTTTGTAGTGATAGGAATCGAACCCATGATGTCACACCTGCTAGGCCGGTGCTCCCCGACCAAGCTACACTTCTCGCCCTTGAGTTCTAAGAATTCTTCAGGAAGCATCATTCTCCATCAGACATGCCTCCTTCACATATAGTCTCCTGGTCTGTAGCTGTTTTTTTTTTCTGCATTTTAGGGAAGGGTCTACAGGGTGTTCAGGGTCTCACTACTAGATTGGACTCTTAGTGATCCACCTGTTTACAGCCTCCCAAGTGCTGGGATTACAGGTGCGCACTACTATGCCCAGTCTCAATCACCATCTCAGCACTCCCCGGGGGCAGTGCCAGCACAGCAAGCTGAGGAATTGAACCCCTGGCCCCTGCATCTGCTTGCAGGCACTTTATGTAGTTGTCTTCTCATTCTATTGACAATGCCCTTTGCAGAACTGAAAATTTTAATTTTAATGAAGTCTGGCATATTGATTCTTTTTTCCTAGGCTGTCTCTTTGACATTGTATTTAAAGTCATCTCTGTATCCAGGAGCACTGAAATTATCTCCCAGGAAGGCTGCACCTCTGCATGTGAGGACTGCGATGCACTCAGAGTTCATTTTTGTAACAAGCACAAGGCCAGTGTCCAGCTTTGATTTCTACATGTGGCTGTCCAGTTGTCTGAGAACCATGGTGAGGAGGCTGCCTTTTCTCCACAACTGGCCCTTGAGTGTCCTTTGGTCTGAGCTGCATTCTGTGGCCCTGCCTTGGGTCCTGTCCTGTTGCTGCCCCATCACTAGCGCCACATGGCCTGGCTCCTGTGGCTCCTTCTTTGGTCCAATGTCTCCAGATCTTCCTGTTTTCCTCTCCTTCTCCTTCTCCTCCTTCTCCTCCTTTTCCTTCTCCTTCTCTTCCTCCTCCTTCTCCTCCTTCTCCTTCCCCTTTCTGTTCTCCTTTTTCTCAGCTTTTATGCCCACAGTCTTAAGAGTCAGTTTGTACCAAAGGTCACTTGCTAGGCTATGGATGTGTGTGCTTCATCCTAAAAGAAGAGGGTGTCAGTCTTTTATTTGTCCTTCTGAACCACATGTGGCCATCAGAAAGGCCTCCCTACCACAAGACCCACGCCTGTGCTCTGTGTCCCCAGTCAGACATATGTCGTCTTCCTTCCCCACACCTACCTGCTGGTCCTTTAGACCACTCTGGCCTTGAGCTGGACCTAGCAATCAAGTTATGCCTTCCTCTAGGTGCCTGGACAAGTGTCCCAGAAAATCATCATCAAAAATTCATCTTTACCACCCACCTTCACCGTATTTTAACTCTCTCCATACATTTGACTCCATTTCTGGACTCTCCATCCTGATCCAAATCTAAACAAAAATCCAATCCCACACCACTTGTAGAGAAATTCTCAGCAGAGTCAGTGGCAGTGCTGTAACCCTGTTCTATCCTGTCCTGACTGGTCTCCTGCTCGAGTCCTGGTGTCTACCATGACACTCGGCAGGCCAAGCCAAATGCTCCAAATAAAATAATGCACCCAAAATCCAGAGAAACAGCCTAGAAAAGGCGAAACCCATTACCTCTAGCCCCACCAGCAAGTGTCATTGATGGAATTGACTGAGCATTTATCTGACATGGAGGTGACATTAACCAGACTGGGCTTCTCTCCAGAGTCATTAGTCCAGATCTGCTGCAAATGCAGTGTCACCAGGCTGCTTGTCTCCTCCACACAGGGTGCCCTGTAGCTGGCCCAGCTCCAAGCAGGAGGATCAGCTCCAACCATGCTTTCTTCATCCTTAATCCTAGGAGAGGCCAACAGCTCCGCTGAGGGCAAGGATCCTCACAAGGACCCTTGGCCCAGAAACCCTTGAGCACAGAGCTGGGCGGGAAGGAGCAGATGCCACCTCCAGGGCGTTCCAGGGGGACAGGGCTGGGTGCTGGAATAGACCCACGTACACACAGCATGGTCCCCATCCTTTTCCATTCCTGAGCAGCCCTCCCTATGGCCCTGCCCAGGGGAAACAGCTCATAGCTGGAAGAACAGGGAACATGAGACACAGCTCCAGCTGTCCGGCCCCCTGTGATGGTGACAGTGACAGAGATGTGCACAGTGGTCTCAAGGCTGTCTCTGCAGAGCCTGTGTCTTTCCAATTCCACCTCATGTGCAGAGCCGCAGTGAATAGCTGCTGTTGTCTAAGCCCAAACTGCAGGACCCTGAGGCTTTCATTCTGAATTGGAGCCCAAGAGGGTGTGAATGTGTGCTCTTCCTAGAGCTCAAGGACCTTATCACCACGAAGACAAGGGCCAGAGCCACTGGGGAGCCCACAGGATGCCCTTGGGGATGATGAGCAGGGTCCTGGCCACCATCCCAATCCCATAGTGAAGTGGAGACAGGCAGAGAGCAGCAGGGAGCAGAGCTCTTCCCTCTGGGACCAGAGGCTCAGGGCAGGCTGAATAGGTCAGGAGACTGAATGGGTGGCCAGTAAAATCCAGAAGAAGCAGATTAACCTGGACACCCACCATGCACCAACGCTGGGCCAAGAGGACACTAAAAACCTCAGTAGTTCAATAGCACGCAATGACGTTAAAGCAGTGATACAGCCTCCTAAGGCAGAAGAGTCCAGGACCAGATGGGTTCCTCATGGCTGAATTTTAGCATAACTTGAAAGAACTAACATTGGTGTTCCTCAGACTGTTCCATGACATAGAAGAGGAGAAATGGCCCCTTTCTCATTCTCTGACACCAATGTCACCCTGACACCAAAACCAAAGAAGGGATTCATATCCAGAATGTAAAGTACTCAAAAACACCAAAAGAACAAGTAGCCCAATAAATAAATGGACAAATGAACTGCACATATTTCTCACAAGCAGTACAAATGGTCGTAATTGTATGAAAAATGTTTGACGCCTTTGGCCGTGAGGGAAATGCAAATTTGGACTCCGTATCACCCCCGTCAGAATGGCTGTCATCAAGAACACAAAACATAGAGCTGGGAGAGATAATATGGCTCACTAAGTGCCTGCCTGGCAAGCTCAAGGACCAGGCTCAACCCCTGGCACCACACGCCATGCCAGCCCCAGAACCCCAGGCATGCCATGCAGACTCTGAAATCAGGCATGGTGGCGCATACCTATAACCCCACTGCTGGGGAGGCTAAGACAAGAGGATCAGTACAGGTCCGAGCTGTGTGGAGAGACCCTGTACCAAATAAACAAACAAATGATTTTTTTTTTAGACAAGGAAAAAAGAACACAAAAAACAATAAATGCTGGTGAGAATGGATAGAGGGACTGCTATAGGTTGTTGGTAGAAATGAAAATTAGCATAGCCCCCGTGGAAATCAGTATGGGGGTTCCTCACAATACCAAAAGTAGAACTACCATATGACCCAGCTCTACCACTCCTCAGTATATACCCAAAGGAATCAAAGTCAGTGTGTCACAGGACCACTAGCACATGTTTAACACAAGAGCCTAGTTCTAGGGTTATTGCAGGGTTCCGACCAGATGAAGACACAGCAGGAGAGGTACTTTGGAAGGCAGACAGCTTTTATTACGCTAGTGGATGGGGGGACATCGGGGTCCAGATCACCAGCCTTCTTCTGAGGTTGCTCCTTGCTCATATAGGTTTTTAGGAGGAAGTACACAAGACAGCTAACATTCTATCTTTGGTTACACATGGCTTTATCGTTAATTGCTAGGCAGAATTTACTCTTATAGATACTCGGGTTATGGTTGTATAACATGGGGGAAGAATCAGTCATTGCCTAAGACCAGGCAGTAACCTTGAGGCGGAAACTCTCTGGGACTTGAAAGGAAGCAAAACACCACTGTCTGGCTAAGCCACACTTACCTTACACCTGGCTCTGGGCGCATCAAGGCTCCTTAAGTTTTGCAGCTCTCTAATTATGAGAACCAATTGTGATTCCCACTCTCGTCCTCAAGTAGTGTTAGAAAAACACTAATGTTCAAAATATAGGATTAAGGGGCTGGAGAGATGGCTCAGTGGTCTAAAGCACCTACTTGAAACAAGCTTGGCAAAGCACAGGGACCGCGGTTCGATCCCCAGCACCACATGCCAGCCAGTCGCGCCCCCTGGTGGGCTGAGCTGGCCACACACACACACACACACACACACACACACACACTAAATGTTAAAATTAAT